TATAACCCCTATGATGTCCTCAAGCCTTCTAGGAAGTCCGACAAAAACCCTCAACTCCGTTAACCCATGTGTAAGCCCTGAAACCCTAAAGCCTAAACCCCCAAACCCTAAACCCGAAGCCCTGAAACCCTAAACCCTGAAACCCTAAGCCCTGAAACCCTAAACCCTAAACCCTAAACCCGAAACCCCTAAACCCCAAACCCTCAACCCCGAAGATGGACCCTCACAAAGTGGACGTCAGGAAGGTGGCCTCGGCGGCTGCCTCTTCCTCCGCTTGTTTCTTGGCCTCTGCTTTGGCTCTTTCGGCCTCAAGGGTAGCAATTAGTTTTGTACATATTTACATAGTATTTGTATGTATGTATGTATGTATGTATGTATGCATGCATGTATGTATGTATGTATGTATATATGTATGTATATATATATAGAGATACAAATATAATATATATATATATATATATACCTATATATATATATGTATATATATATATAGATAACATTTGGCATGAGGAGCTAAATGTCACAACGCAGCGCTGGTTGACGAACATGCCTCTCATTGGTGATCGGGATCCTGATACTCAGGCCCTTTACACAACGGCTTTATTATTCAGCGATCAGACGAGCGAGTGCTTGCAGTTGCGGTACGTGCACATGCCCAGTTGCCAGCGGCGCGGCGGACAGGTCTACATTACCGTTTTACTTGGCATACTTCCGATCTACTCCCTCATGCGCGGAAAGCGTGAACAACTCTCAGGATCAAAACAACACAGCCACTCAGGCGCATGCAGGCACGAAAGGTGCTGGCTAGGCAAGTTGTATCAAGTGGCAACCTGATAAAAAGCCTTGTGCCCTTAACCCTCGACCCGACACCACACACAATACGCTCTGCAGTTTGGGTGTTTTGGCATCAGCGAATCAGGTTTGGGGCTGGCAAGCAGTTTGGGAATCGAAGCTGTAGGATTTCGGATATAATCCCTAAATCCCAACCCTCGAAACCCTGAAGCCCAGCGCATCAAACCTTCACCAGCCTCTTTGGCGGCGGCGTCGTCCTCGGAGGGCTTGGACACCTTCGCCTCCGCCACGGTATACGAGAAGGTGTATTGTGACGAATGTATCTGATCTCCTGAAGTGATTTTGCCTTGTCTTTTGCTCTACTCTACTCTACTGTAATGTAGGGGCCTTAGTAATTAGAATAGGGTTTTGGGGCCCATTCTACTATAATTGTAATAAGGAACCCCCCACAATAGTATAGGTAATTATTGAGGCCCCTATATTACTCTAGTCCATTCTAGTCCACTCCGCTGTACTCTAATGTGCTGTGCGGTAGTACCGTACTGTGCTGCACCAAACTAGACTACACTACGCGACACTTGTATTCTCAATGCATTATAGTAACCTAGACCAGACTAGACTTGACTAAACTAGACTGCACGATGGTGACGATGATTCTGATGATGCCCAGACTGGCAAAGCAGCAGAAGTACCAGGTTACCTGGTGTTCGCAGCTCGCACTACGACAACGACTGCTATTTGTTAAGCTGCTACTACCACCACCATACTTTTTGATATACTATAAAGTAGTTCCTTTTTGTAGCTTATATTTAGGATCCTATTAGGTAATCCCAACAAGGAACTACTATGTGGCCTATGGGTATATATATATATATACATCAAGATACGATAATGTGCGCAGGTGCCCCCAGGCGGCCTTCTTCTCGGCCTGATAGCTTGGCGACCTCGGCACAACACAAAGTTGAGGGGTTCTTCCGTTTAGGATTTAATGCTGCTTGTCTACGAGTCTGCATATAGGATTTACCTTAACCTACCAAAACCTACTTTTTTGTAGGGTCTTTTCAAATCCTTATTAGGGTTTATAATAAGAACCTACAACAAAGTAGGGTTTGGTAGGTTAAGGTAGGCTTTACAGTTGCATTTGTGACTTGTGCAGCGGTTTCGTGGGTTCTCCAAGATCCGTGGTACGTTTGGGGTCTTTCTGCTAGGGATGCTGCTTGTCAGGGTCCTATCGTCGGGCGCCTCACTTTCCTTAACTCCACACCCCGACCCCATTTTCAGAGACCCTGTGCGTTCGGGGTCTTGGAACATTTGGGGCTAGGGTTAAGGGCAGAGGCAATCAAATAGACACGTCCGGGACAGCATACTCTACGTAGCAAACCCCATCCGAAACCCGCAAACCCTGACCGCGCATCCTGCAAACCCCGTAAATTAAGCTTTACAAGGTGCAGAAACTCGAAACCCTAAACCCCAAAAAGGAGCCGGCACCCTCAGATGAACGACCCTGAATCCTACAGCCTAAACCGTGGTTTAGGGTTTAGGGGTATGCTGAGCCCCGGGCGCTCTCTGCGTCGCGGCCTGTGACCGGGGATTGGGCCGGGCTGGAATCTTCCGCTTGCTATCAGGGTTTAGGGTTTAGGGTTTAGGGTTTCAAAGCGCTTTGCCGGGCCACTATGTAAGGTAGGGGCCTTAACTTAATTAGACGTAGAGTTTTGGGGCCCTTTATACTATATTTACTATAACAAGGAACACCCAAAATAGTATAGGTAATTATTTAGATTGGGGGCCCTTTTTACTACATTTATAATAAGGAACACCCAAAATAGTATAGGTAATTGTTTAGGCTTCTATTTTATAGGAGTTCTGTAAGGCTTCTGTTGGAGCTCCAATAGGGTTCTTCGGGTCTTTCGCGGGCTTTGGATTCTGGGAGACTGGAATTTCTTTCGGGCGGTAGGGGTTTAGGGGGTTCAGGGTTTAGGGTACTGCCGCTCGGATTTTAAACAAAGGTTCAAGAATGACATACCTGTGACCCCAAACCCTACACAATAGTAGGTTTTGGACCCCTGATTACCCTAAACCCTAAACCCTTAACCCTAAACCCTAAGAGGGTAGACCCCATAAAACGGTAGGTTTGGGGATCCCCGGGTAGGGCTTACAAGGATTAGCGAACTCAGCGCAGTTTGCATGCTGTTGCCTGTCGGGAGCGAGGGAACGAACCCGTCTGATACAGCGGTCGGACTAGATAGTAATATGTGCGCAGTAATAGCATCACCTCATAAATAGTCCCTGTATGGTTATAGTATAGTACCGGCATATAAACCCTAATCTAATCCAGGTATGAGGTTCTGAAGGTTGTTTTATTGGGTTGCGACAGGAAACCATCAAGCTACATACTGCGTCAGGGTCCTCGAGAATTCGAAACTCGGTGTGCAACTCAGAGCTACAAAACAGTAGCCTTCAGGAACCTAGGGTTCTGGCGGTTTGGGTTCAGAGAGCCCTAAACCCTAAACCCTAAACCAGTGACCGTCAACCTGAGATTTGCCGATGGCTTAGGGCCTGAACCCCCAAACTTTCTATAAACCCTCTGCAGAACATCCAACAGCGTCTAAACCCCAAAACCTGAAAGAAGTCCGAACTCCTAAACCTACTATCCCCAAACCCTACAGACCTATACCCATCCCTTTTTTCGATCCCTTTTGAACAGGACTCCACCTGTTTGCGGCGTGCTGCCGGCTCGGGGCTGCTGGTGGCCTTTCGGCGCGCTCGCTCCTCATCAGGTTGGCTAAAGGTTTAGGGGTTTAGGTCTAACATGCTGAAAGGTTTCGGAGTGCACTTAGTTTGCTTTCTGTTTTTGGGATTTAGGGGCTGTAGGGTTGGGGGCTTACTGCTAGGGTTTGCAAGGGCACGGAAAGGGTTGCTAAAAGGGTTACGAAAGAGCCTTGGGATTGTGGGATTGTCGGATTTGGGGTTAAGTGTTTCGCAGCCTAGAGGTTTAAGAGTTTAATGACGAAGGTGCCGGCCTAGTGAAAGGTCCATCATCATGGCAGCTGTCTTTTTCAGGAAAATTGTAGCAACTCAGGCACTGTCACCAAACACATCAACTCGCGGCTGGCAGCGGTGGGTTGGTGAGTTGTGTATGTTTAGGGTTTAGGGTTTAGGGTTTAGGGTTTAGGGTTTAGGGTTTAGGGTTTAGGGAGGCGTGCTTGCGAGAGGTGCGGGGTTGGAGTATATTGTGGTTTCTCATACAGTGGCTGCTTTTCTCTCAAGCTATACTCTACTCTTCTGGTATCTTACAGCTTCTTAACGTATATCATTATAGTTTCTTTTAGTTTTTTGGAACTTCTTAACGTATAATTAATGGGGAAGGGGGCAGCGAGGGGAGGCGCCGCAGGCGGCCGTGATGAGGACGCTCCGTGCGTCCCGACATAATTAGGAAAAATCTATGCTACTATACCAACTGCGCCATCTTACATTGCACTATAATTGTTACATTATGTATACTTAGACATATTACGTTGAAACATTATTGTCGTATCATATTCCTGGGTTGGCCCTTTGAAGCCCGTGAAAGAGTTTAGTAAACAAGGTCCTCTTAACCCCAATAGGAGAAACAACAACATCCCAAAGGCCTACCTAGTACAGCATGTTATACGGTAGGGGCCTTAATAATTAGAATGGGGTTTTGGGGGCCATTATGCATGAATTATAATAAAGAACCCCCCACAATAGTATCGGTAATTATTTAGGCTCCTACACTATACATCTTATGTGCTTTCAATCTGGCCCGCCTTGCGTTCATCCTTCCGCTCATCTTTCCGGTCCTCCTTCCGGTCGTCCTTCCGATCCTCCTTGCGGTCGTCCTTCCAGGTAGCGATGCTTAAAGGAGCATTGACTTTAAGAAGTAGATGGGTGCAGGTGGTCAGGAGTTAACGGCCGGAATTCGATACGCTGAGCACTATGAACTCCAAACCCTCAACCCTCTTGATCCCCAAATCCCGAAGCCAGGAGAAAAAAAACTGCCACCCCCAAAGCTGTAGATCCAAAAAGCTGAACCCCAAAATCCCGAACAAATTACTTCCCACTCTGACACATAAGACTTGACTTGAGGCTGCAAAGTTTCAGGGTGTAGGAGCTCTTCCAGTCCGGATTTTCCACGTATACATACACACATATACCTACTAGTACGCATGTTGATGTGCGTATGTATGTGTAAACATATATATATAAATAAATAAATAAATAAATATATATATATATATATATATTCGCATACCGTGCATAGATATATATATATATATATACACACACATGTCAGTCTCTGTGTGTGCGTTTGTGTCCTTGCGCACGTTGCATTGTATTGTAGTGTACTGTATGCACACCCATACATATACATATCTATATCTATACGCACACATACAAGTGTTCGGTGTGTGTGTGTGTAGGACAGTGGGACTAAAAACATGCACGAGTGAGTGTATGTGTGTGTATAGATATAGTTGGATTTACTTACATATGTATATACATATACATATACACACATATATGTTTCTGTGTTTAAGTGTATGTGCGTATATGCATAAACAAGTGTGTATGTGTACATATATATATATACATATATATATATATCTGTCTACAATATGCAGTTTACATATATACATATACATAATACATAGTACATATGTACATATGTACATATACATATGTATGTTTGTATGTATGTATGTACGTATGTATCTATGCATGACGATGCATACATACAGCCAGGGTCTCCGGGTTTAAAAACTTCGGAGGGTCCTTGCGGTCTTCCTTTCGGTCTTCCTTGTCCTTCTTGTCCCGGCCGGCGTCTCGTCGGCCGCGGCCCTAGCATGAGGGAATGATGAGATCTGGGTCTAGGGCTTAGGGCTTAGAGCTTAGGGTTTAGGGCTTAGGGAATGATGAAATCAGGGTTTAGGGACGGCTCAGGCTTGAGTAGTGGGTTTTAGATTTCGAGGATGTGTTTCCTGCTCAGCTGTGGGCATCGGTTTGAATGCTGCGACATTACCTTCGGGCAGGTTTACCAACCTCATGTGGGCAACCGGTCCTCAACAGTTAAAGCAGCTTCTTCTGGTGGCAGGTTCTGTTGCCATATGGGGTATATCTTCATATAGCCCAATGGGAGCATGACTTCATTGATAATTGAAACTGAGATGCCAGAAATGCATAGACCCCAAGGGTGAAGATCGCACAGCTTGAAACCCAAATCCCCAATAAACCCTATAAGCCCTAAACCATAAGCTCCGAAACCCTAAGAGGCACGTTTATTGCCACCATGGCAGAGCAACCACCGCTGCACCGCGCGAACGCACGGCACTCAGTGATAGCTCGATGGACGAACACGACGGTGAGACTTCGACGAATCCGGGGATGTTCCAAACTCAACTGAGGGATGTTAGTATAGGGTTCCTTCAAAGGGTTCCTCAAAGGGTCTCTCAGGGCTACTATAAGGGTTCAGGGTTTAGGGGGGGTGCCTTAATTATCATCAGAGCAGGGTTTTGGGGCACACTATCGTATAATCACAGTATGGAACCCTAGGAAAAATATTGGCAGTTGTTCCGGCCCCTGTGCTACAGTTGTTTTCGTTTGCGCTTAGGGACGATAGGGCTTCCGGAATGTACCGGCTTCGATGGTATGTAGCAACGAAGATGCCATTATGCTGAGAAGCTTGCGACGAGGTGCCAAAGGCCTTACATCCTAAATCCTTCATCCTTTAAGACAAGGGACTAGAATCTGGAATCTAGAACACCCCTGCATCGGCATGGCCACGACCGAACTTGTTGCCGGCTATGCTGTGATGCCTTGTGAACAGCCTTTTGCCGTGAACCACACCAGGAACACTAAATTGTCTTAAACCCTTAAGTCCAACACCTAAGCCCATGAAACCTGAACTGTCCTAAGCCGCATGAATTCGTCCCACAGCCGTCTTCCGGCAGTGCGACTCACACGTTTAGAACTATTCTTGGAAGCTCGGGGGGACTTAAAAGACAGGTTACTCCAAGCCCTGACAGGCTGTGGCGGTTTTGTAAGGTGTACAGAATAGCCATATCAGCGATCAGAGTCCATATTCAATAGAGGGCCGAAGAAACGGCTCTAGCCTGCCAGCTTCGTAATTATCACCAGCAAGAGCAAAACATCAGCACAAACACACAGCAACCCAAAATCCAAAACCCGAATTTAAAACCCTAAACCCAATTAAAAACCCTCAACCCTAATTTAAAACCCTAACCGTAGTTTAAAACCCCTAAATTCCCTCATTTCAAATCTCGGAGTCGGAGAGGTTCCTACAAGGAGCACCGGACCAGTACGAAGCCTCCCCGAGCCTCCCATGAGAGGAGCTCTGACTGTGTGGAAAGGCGGAACTTGGAAGCACCCATCTGGGGTTTAGGGTTTAGGGTTTAGGGAGAGCTTAGGGTTTAGGGTCTAGGGTTTAGGGCTTAGGGTCTAGGGCTTAGGGTCTAGGGCGTAGGGTTTAGGGCTTAGGGTTTAGGGTCTAGGGCTTTGGGTTTAGGGTTTAGGGCTTAGGGTTTAGGGTCTAGGGCTTTGGGTTTAGGGTTTAGGGCTTCGGATTGAGGGTTTAGCGCTTAGGGTTTAGGGGTTTAGGGTTTAGGGCTTGGGGTTTAGGGTTTAGTTCGGTGCTTAGGGTTTAGGGTTTAGGGCTTAGGGTTTGGGGCTTACGGGTTTAGGGTTTAGGGCTTAGGGTTTAGGGTCTAGGGTGGGTTTAGGCTTCGAATGGTAGGCTTTCGGGTTCAAGGTTTCGGATTACGGCATTGATTGGGCTTCTACCTACTAGCATATCCACATGTATGTGTATATATATATATATACACATGTGTGGTAACTCCCCCCCATTGACCAACCTCCATGATATGTTCAAGGGGCTTCCGTATGTGTGTATATATATATATATAAACATGTGTGGTACCCCCTCCCCAATTGACCGACCTCCATGACATGTTCAAGGGGCCTCCCGGCATCCTACCTACCAACATATCCACATGTATGTGTATATATATGTATATACACATGTGTGGTAACCCCCCCCCAATTGACCAACCTCCATGACATGTTCAAGGGGACGGGGGGCAAGAGGGACGATAGTGGGGGGGGCTAGCATGTGTATGTATGTATGTATATATATATATATGTACCATATGTATGTATGCATCTGTATATACATATGTGTATATATATATATATATATATTCTATATATGCGTAAAGGTTTTATAGGACTTATAAGGTCAGCACTTGGGGTTGCAGGTTGCGCTACTGGGAGTGAGGGTCGACGGTTTCCATCCCCAAAAACCTAGCGACATAGCTCTTTAAGGACATCAAGCCGAAACCTTAATAATTCAGGGTCTAGGGTTTAGGGAAGGAGCCTGAACAAAAGTAATTAATGTAGGGGGTCTAAATAATTGCCTATACTATTTTGGGGGCTCCTTACTATAACTATAGTATAATGGGACCCAAGACCCTGTTCTAATTATTAAGGCCCCTATATTAGGCTTCACGGGTTTACGGTTTTGGGGGCGAGGCTCCCCCTGCAGATCTCCGCGGTCAGACAAGCCTCTCAGATCCGGCGAGGTCTCGGTCACGGCAGCCCTCAGCAGCAGGAGACTAAATAATTACCTATACTATTCTGGGGGCTCCTGGTTACAACTATAGCAGAATATACCCCAAAGCCAAATTCGAGGGAGGGATGGTTAGTAAATGGGTTCGAACTCGCAGGTACATGTCCTTACTTGTGTTTTGACCCTAGTCAAAACCTGCTTACCAAGTGGTGAGTCTTCGAGTGCTGCCGGGGTTTAGGATTGTCCTCTCGATACGTCCTAGAAGCATTCAGAATCGCATGTGCCAGGTGATCCACCCATGGTCTGCGCAAAGGCTCCAAGGGCGAAAAGCTAGGGATTCGAAGTCTATAGGGCATATTCTATAGCACACATGTCTAGGGACTACAAAGCGGGTAACCTTGGCACCCATTCAGCCCACGTATTAAAATCATAAACCCTGAACTCATAGCAACCATTTCGACCCTTGGCCTAAATCCCTGACCTTTGGCGCCCCGAAACACAAGCTTCGAGCCCTCAGATCCCTATGTATGTGAACCTTAGCTTCGACATAAGACAAAAGCCAGTCCTTATCGAGCCCGTGGGCCGTTTTGGAACCCCCCAAAGAGGAAGATTCCGGTTGATTCAAGGCCTGTAAAGTTCAGGTTTAGCCCGAATCGAACAGATTTTGTTAATGTAGGGACCTGAATAATTGGAATAGAGCTTTGGGGGTACAGTATACTATATTAATTATTCGAAGGAACCCCCCAAAATAGTATAAAGCATTAAATAAGGCCCCGATACGAGGTTAGAGGACACAGCACGAGGGCTTCAGTTCCGTACATAGTGAGATGCTGGGCCTAGACCCTATCGTAAGCCCCCAAAGAGTTGGAAACCGGATTTAAGACGCTTGTGCTGAAATTCCCTATACACTACTTGTGAGGATTGAAGCCATTGGGCTTCCAATGTAAACCAAAAACCCGGAACCATAAACCGGGAGAAGGATATCGTCTGAACTGAAGCTCTCGGGCATGTGGTTTTGGGCCTTTCTACCGTTCTACGATCTGATGCCGTGTTGTAGTACCGAACTATTTAGGGCACTGTATAGGGCCATGATGTACTATACTATACCATATACCATATCATAACAGTTATTTAAAGTTTTAAGGGCAGCATTACAGGGCCTTGTCGTTCAGGGCCTCCTAAACCCTAAACCCTAAACCCTCAACCCGAAACCCCCAACCCGAAACCGTAAATAGCCTAAACCCTAAACCCTAAATAGCCTGAACCCTAAACCCAAAGCCCTAAAATCCTAAACCCGAAGCCCTAGAAACCCTAAAAACCCTAAACCCCTCAATAGCCTAAGCCCTTAACCCGAAAAAGGGCTGAGAAGAAGCCCCAGGCGCTGGTGAAAAGGCGCGGAGATCAGGTTGCCGGTACCGCCTGGACCGGGACCTCCTCCCGACACATCCTGAGACATGCGGGTTTTGGGGGGTTGGGCTTAGGGTGGTTGGGTTTAGGGTTTAGGGTTTGGGATTTGGGGGTTAGGGTCGGTTCTGGGGTTTGGGGTTTGGGTTTTTGGGGCGGTTTAGGGTCGCTTTGGGGTTTGTGGCTTTGGAGTTTAGGGTTGTCCGCGTTGGTTTAAAGTTGGGGGGCTAGTTCTCACGCTTAATTACCTCTTCGCGGTAATAGGACCCCTTCCGAGACTTCGTAAGAAAGAATTGCAAACAACTACCTTAAACCCTACTTATAGTCTCCATTGTAGTTCGTTTTGGGGTTCCCTTGTAGGATCCTACATATAGAATACCACAAAAAGGAACCACAATGGAGACTATTTGTAAACCCGAAGCCCGTACTAAGTCCTAAATCCTAAATCCTAGAAAAAAGAAACATCCCGGAAGAAAGGTCACTTTGGGCCGTGGGCAGGGGATTCGACGCGGCTTTGGAACCATTAGGTGCCCTTCAGAACAGCCTTCTACATGTTTCGGGTGTAGAGCTTAGGGTTCTACATGTTTGGAGTTAGGGCTTCGGGTTCTACATAAATTTAGAGTTTAGGGTTTATAGGGTTCTACATAGACTTAGGGCTCAATTAGGGCTTGCGGTTCTACATGTTTAGGTTATAGGGCTTATGGGGTTGATTCAGGGTGTATTTAAGGTTTAGGGCTTTTTATAAATAGAGGGTTAAGGGATCTGCATAATCCGTGTTGACGTGTAAACGAAGGCCGCCAGTTATGCAAGCACGACAAACTACACCATTGAACAAGGAAGCCCGGAACTA